TTGATTTTTGTTCATTGACAGCAAGACTGAGCTCACGAAGGAGGGTAAGAGTGAAGTGAGTGTCTTGCTGGGCCTTGTGACAGGAGTGAGCTAAAAGGAGCCAATCGTCAGTATATGGAAATATGAGAATTTTTTGCATTCTGAGGTAAATGGCTACTGGTGCCATTCACTTGGTGAATATTCTTGGAGCTGTTGCAAGGCCGAAAGGAAGCCTTTTGAATTGGTAGGCTTGTGATCCTAGTTGAAATTAAAGGAATTTCCTGTGTGAAGGGTGTATGGAAATATGGAAGTACAGTGGGGTCTCGACTTACGAACAACCCTACTTGCGAACAATTCAACTTACGAACCCGCCCTATAGGGAAATAAGGACTCGACATACGAACTTCCCTCGAGTTACGTACAGGAAAAAAGTGCCCCCTCCCTCCCCTTAAAGGCTTCTGGAGGGGGAAAAGGGTCAGAAACTTAAAAATAAATAAAAGAAGGTCATTTACCAGGCCTTGGTAGCCCCCAAACAGCAGGAAACAGCAAAAGCCGACACCCAGAAGGGAGTCTGGCAGCCATTTTGTGCTTTTCCCTGCTCCTGCACCCTCCTCCCCCCGCCTATCAGCTGATCGGCTGGCTCTGAAGAGGCTTGGGGAGGCTTCCTCAGCACCTAAAAAGCCTGCCTGTGTGTCTTTGTGCTGAAAAAATCAGCACAACATGCTTTAAAACATGATTTAAAATTGGCTTCATTGAAAAAAAAAGATTTCTAAAGTGCTTTGCAAACTGTTCCGTGCCTTCCTCCTTGTTTCCTGAACCTAAGGGGAAAAAAAAGAAAAAATATCCCCCTCTAGTGGCAGAAGGCAGAATAGCAGCTTCCCATTAGTTTCTATGGACGGAAAAGAGCAGATACAGATTAAATGGTTTTCAATGCATTCCTATGGGAAATGCAGATTCGACCTAAGAACTTTTCGACCTAAGAACCACCTTCCAATACGGATTAAGTTCGTAAGTCGAGACCCCACTGTATGTGTCTTTGAGATCTGTGACTGTGAACCAGTCATTTTTGTGGAGTAACGGGAGAACTGATATGATGATAACCATACGCAATTTTGTGGTAATTATGTATTTGTTTAAGGTCTTTGAGATCTGTGACTGTGAACCAGTCGTTTTTGTGGAGTAACGAGAGAACTGATATGAGGGTAACCATACACAATTCTGTGGTAATTATGTATTTGTTTAAGTTTCGTAGGTTTAAGATAGGGCGAAGACCTCCGCCCTTTTTGGGCACAGTGAAATAGCGAGAGAAAAATCCTTTGTTTTGTTGTGAGATGGCTTGTATGGCATACTTGAGGAGTAACTTTCTTATTTCTTCTTGTAGGGTTGGAGATGGTGGGGGGTGAACTTGAGGAGTAACTTTCTTATTTCTTCTTGCAGAGTTGGAGATGGTGGAGGGTGAGATTCACAGAGGCCACGAAGAAGAACCTACAGGAACCTCAGGACCTTTGAAGGGAATCAGAATGTTATTTCTGAAAAATTGCAGGAGCTAATGACATCATCAGCCTTAAACAGTATAACTTCTGGCAACAGGATTTCATCCACAGAATCATTAGAATGGTATACAAAGGCCTTGAGGTTCCTCTTCAACAACAAGCAGCTGCGTGGTCTGCCTTCTATGACAGAGTGGAAAGGCATTATACAACTGTTTACATTGTAATAATTATTACTATTTTGAGTTTTTTACATATTCAGCCCTTGAGGATTTCTGGAGAGGCCCTACTGCTGGTGCCATGTGCAGCTAAAATCTAAACTGCTGACATGTGGAACAGATAATTTAGCACGGTAGCACTCCCTCTCTCTTCTGATATTCACCATGCTCTAACAATTTTTTTATTTTTAAACGTATGTTTGAAAACTTATCTATTTTTGCAAGCTTTCCCTGTTCATCCAGGCTACTATCAGTTGAATTAGAAGAGATAAATATTGTATTTTAATTCTGTGTATTGTTACATATTTTATTCTCCAGGCTACTATCAGTTGAATTAGAAGAGATAAATATTGTATTTTAATTCTGCGTATACTGTAGTTACATATTTTATTCTTCTTGTACACTGCTTTGAAATCTTCAGAGCTACATGGAATATAAATATCGGTATTTAAAAACTAACAATCATAGTCAACTTCTGTTTTGCAAATCTCAGCCCTTTATTCCTGACACATCTTTTTTTTCTTCAAGTAATGACTAAGAGTTTACTCTATGCACAAGTAGCTGCACACACACAGGTTCTGCACAAAATAATGCATGAAGGTTGCAGTACTTCCTTTTACATGCTTGATTTACCCCACAGTTGACCACCCAGGGCCTCAGAAGAGAGGTGGACAGCTGGATCAGAAGCATGTTCCAGGAATCAGCATTACCAATACAGAGTACCTGGCCTCTATCCAGAAGAGAGGAAGGCATTTTACCTCCCTGAAAATGAGTACAAAAGTGGCCACAGGTCTGCATACCAATGGCATTTACTAATTTTCATGTAAAAATACACGGATAGAAATAATGAATATGTTTAAATAGAAATGCATCTCACTATACTGAGAAGTATGTGACCGGCCAACCTGTACACTGGTTCTCCAGGTGCTAACTGCTAAGAAGCAATATCTGGAAGTTGAGTCATGGCAACTGGACTTCTTTCTTGTTAGGTTGAAACGTTTCTCTACTCATCCAAGCTGAAGAAGCTCCTTTGGTGAGTAACGAAACATTTGGGCCTAACAAGAAAGCAGTCCAGTTGCCATGACTCAGCTTCCAGATACCCACATCTGGATGACTGAGGATCTTCAGATATCTTGCTAAGAAGCAACTTCAAGGCCCTCTCTTCTTGGTGGGCTTTGTCATAAACATGGACTGGATAGAGACATTCAATCAGAAATAGCCTTCAAAGGAAAAACTGTAATCTAGCAGCCCTTTGTATATAGAAGTTTCCTCTGTAAAGGAGGAGTGGTTCATGGTTTGAGAGGGCGTGGGCAGCCTCATTCCAAAATTTCAGGGCAATACATTGCCTTCCTTGGATCATATTTTATTTAGAATGTAAAACTTAACACATGGCCAGTGGCCACATATCAGAGAATAACTACTCTCCACTATTCCGAAAATGGAGCAGCACCTGAAATGGGTTATCTAAGCCCATATGGTTCCAGTTGAGATCTCAACATGGCAAGTGACTATTTGGAGCTGGCTAAAGATGTGAACTTCAGTCTTGCTAACACTATCATCAGGAGTTCCCTTGTGCTCTGTGAACATGTAGTCAGTAGAGACCAGGGCAATGCCTTTTGTAGAACTGTTTTATAATGCTGTATTTTATGGTTCTTGTTAAAAAAAATTAGAAGCAGTCACAGACACTTTTTAGTAGACAGATGTGACAAAATATTTTCAATGAACATATAGCTGTCTGGCTATCAGTAGCAGCACCACAACGAAGGAAAATTCTATAGGTTCGCCATACCTTGACATTTTCAAAATGCAAAACAAGAACGACACTGAATTGCCAGAGACACAAAACACAAAAGGGAGCATGGGGGAAGCTGGTCTATGAAGAAAGCTTCTAATTTATGGAGACCAGTTCCTGCCCACTCCCACTCAACCCCATTTATTACAGCAAACTTTTCCTCTCTTCCTTGTTCCACCACTTCTTAATGTGCTGCCCTGATTCACAAAGCATAGCCTGTATACAAAAATCAGGCTCTGTGAACAAATTCCCTCTTTACACACAAATGCAACAGAACAGATGTTCTTTCTGGAAATTGTGTCCATGGCAAAGGCAGCCCATAAATCATATGCTATATAATAAATGTGAACAATAAACATAAATATATAATGGTCCAAATCCTGCTGTGTGGGATCTGCCTGAACACTGTGAATTAAGTCATTGACAGGTGTCGATTGTCTCTGGTTAAAGGCTTTATTCTGAGATTTTGGGGTGACTGCAACTTTGTGAGCTGTGCAAAACCCAAAATTGTGAAAGGAATTCTTTAATTAGTGGCCATCGGCTACTACCAATGATCTAATTCCTGTTGTGTAGAGCTGTACAAGATTTTAGCCAATACAGTATTAATAGGAATGTATATTCATGCCCATACATGGCAAGTGCAAGTAAAAATACTTCATTAAGTAACATCCCATTTCTATCACTAATTTATTTAAAATATTTTTTACCCTACTTCTCCTCAAAAAGAACCCAAGGCAGCCTACACCATTAAAATTTATTTATTTAAAATATTTTTACCCCACTTCTCCTCAAAAAGGACCCAAGGCAGCCTACACCATTAAAACAGCATGTATACAAATATATAGAAAGGATCTAATACCTCACTACAACGTGGTAAACAAAAACATTAAAAAGAGATTCAAAGCAATAAGACACAATCCATTTAACAACCCCATTCAGGCACCACCACTGAGGGAATGCTTGCACTTAAAAAACAGCTACAGTATATACATTGATAGCTTTTTTCTTTTCTTTTTTTTGCAAGAGACAGGAAAACCTGACAGGCATGATTTCTTAGCAGCATAAATATCCATTTAACAACCCCATTCAGGCACCACCACTGAGGGAATGCTTGCACTTAAAAAACAGCTACAGTATATACATTGATAGCTTTTTTCTTTTCTTTTTTTTGCAAGAGACAGGAAAACCTGAGAGGCATGATTTCTTAGCAGCATAACAAGATATTTCATACTGTGGAAATCAAACTGACCCAAATAGCCTTTGCTGCTTTGATAATGTCATTAGTTTGCCAAGCAAAATGTTTAACAATGTTTTATGTAATTCGTGATATACAATAATAAAACACACACTGAATGTTAATACAGTATTTAGTGCTTGAACTTAAAGTATTGGTTGAACTGCAGAACAAAAGGGCACATGAACAGAACTGAAAGTGTCAGAAATTAAAAACTGTTCAAACTCTGTATTAAATGTGTCATACAGCAGTCAAATAGATAAATATATTGTACTTGAAAGACTTACCTTGTGCAGGGGGGGGGAAATGGACCTCAATTTGCTGAACTAATTAGGTTCAGACTCGTTCTCTACTACAGAATAGTTTCCTCCACTTGTAGGGGGAGATATTTTAGGCGTGGCTGAACTTGTTTACATGTTTGGCCACATCTCACATTCCACTGCCTTTCACTGGCAAGACAGGCAGGGCTAATTTTAATCTATGACAAACTATCTGGTACTGTACTAATGCCTTCAGAGAAAGGCTTGACTTAATTCTATTTGTAGGAAAATGTATTCTTATGTATGCTTTCTTCACTGGACCTTGTACTGTATAGAATTTAGGTTTGTTTATGTGGGCCTAAATCCTCCTGGTGTGATTGACAGCCCTCTAGAAGAGGTTTTCAGGGCATGTAGGGAGTACAAGGGGGGAGGGGGAAAACCAACCCCACCTCCTGGTTCTACTGAGAGAATCAGGTCTCTGGAACTTTTAACTGGATTTTTGCTTTCTAAAAACATGTCCAAATGCATTTGTCCCCATTTGGCACATTAGTTTGTTCTTTCTTCCAACATCCACATGAGAAGTGGACCAATGTGCTTCCATTTGTCCCGCAAGGCACCCCAAGCAGCACTTTTTTGAGCCTCTGTCACAGGAGTCTACTTTTTTTGGTGCAGGTTGGTATGCTCCAGTAATGCATTTGTCCCCATTTGGCACATTAGTCTGTTCTTTCTTCCAACATCCACATGAGGAGTGAACCAATTTGCTTCCATTTGTCCCACAAGGCACCCCAAGCAGCATTTTTTTGAGCCTCTGTCACAGGAGTCTACTTTTTTGGTGCAGGTTGGTATGCTCTAGTGTAGTCTGTTCCAAGAGTCTGCCATCACTGGGAATGGACTGAAATCGAGCCTTGCAGCAGTCAAAGCTGCCAAGGGTGCTTCCAGTTTGAATTTCCAGTATCGTGAAGTGCTTAATAAACAAGCTACTTCAGGTAGTGGCAAAACTGAATACTTTACTCTGCTTTGCATGCTTCAACCAATTCCTGTATCTCCTTTGTGTGTGCACATATACAAAAAAAGGCGCAATGGTGGGGGATCCCTTTCTTTTGTTTACATTGCAAGATGAGGGGGCAGTGGGAGATTGCATACTCCCTTCTCTGCATGTCCTGCTCCTTTCTCTCTGCCTCTATGTCCAAATCTGGTGTAGTCAAACAGGAGTGCAAAGGGCAGACAGGTGTCTGTTTTTGCTTGGCTGCTCTTTCTCCTCTTGCACCAACCACCATGTGTAGCTTGCCTCTCTCTCTTTATGCCAATTTGGATGTGAGGATGGCACTAAATGGCATATCACCCCCTGCCAACCTTAACCAACCCTATTTAGACCACACCAACCTACACCAGAAGGGCGAGTCTGGACATGCCCAACTCACTTCTGTCCTGAGGAATCGGAGGAACATAGTACTAAAATGTCCCTTCTTGACTTTGTGATGGTAAACAACATTGATTATCCCAACATTTTGGCTCTTTAAAATGCTGACGTCAGAATCTGTAGTCCTGCCTGTGCAAAAGGAACTCTACTGAACTCTTCAAAACGTTTAAGGCATTGTCATCAGTATCCACATATAAAATATCTTAAAAAACATACAAATTGTCTTTCGAATGAAGGAAAAAAAGGTCTTCATGGGGAATCAAAAGCAAATGTGTGAGTGTCACAAACTCTGCTTTTGGCTTAATAAGCACTGTTCCTTGAATAAATTTATTCTAAGGAGAGCCTGACCCATCCCTGAAGTGGCATGTAAGAGAAAGATCTGTTTATAGTTTCTAATCTGGCTGCTCCACACACTGCACAAAGTAACAGTAGGGTATAAAAGTCTGGCTGGACCTGTTCTCACTTTGCATACACTGGACCCTCGCTGTGCTCCTCTTTGCTCACTCATGCTGACTCATTAACAGCTTGAAAAAGCATACTTCACTTTATATTAACTCAAATCTTCAACTTTTCTTTTCATCCACAATATGTATATTTGTAGTTGAAATTCTTTGCATTTGACTGTGCATAAGGAGAAAAGTTTTAACATGGGTGAACTACAAGTATACAGTCATGTGAACAATAAAGTACACCCACTCTGAATTCTATGGTTTTACATATCAGGACATAATAAAAATCAGCTGGTCCTTAGTAGGTCTGAAAAATAGGTAAAGACAACCACAGATGAACAACAAGACATGACATATTACACCGTATCATGATTTATTTTACAAAAAATAAAGCCAAAATGGAAAAGCCATGTGTGAAAAACTAAGCACACCCTTGCTGTTTCCATAGCACTTAAGAGGCTAAGTAGCAGCCAGGCGCTGCTAACCAAATGCCCTTGAATAATCTGATCATCACCAAGTGTGACCACCTCTATAAAAGCCGAAGTTTTAGCAGCTTGCTGGTTTGGAGCATTCAGATCTAAGACTCTACAGGCCTCAGTGAACATGTTAAATTTCATGACAGTACAATTAGAAAAAGACTGATCAAGTATGTTTTGCTTGGGAGGGTTGCCAGGAGAAAGCCTCTTCTCTCTAAAAAGAGCATGCAGCATGGCTTAGGTCTGCTGAGATGCATCTGGACAAACCACAAGACTTCTGGAACAATGCATTTTGGATAGACAAGACCCAAGTGGAGAAGTCTGGCCATAATGCTCAGTGTGGAACAATGTCTTTTGGACAGACAAGACCCTAGTGGAGAAGTCTGGCCATAACACTCAGTGCCATTTTTGGCAAAAACCAAACACAGCATATCAGCAGAAACACTTCCTATGAACTGTCAAGCACAGTGTTGGAGGGGTGATGATTTGGGCTTGTTTTGCAGCCATAGGACCCAGGCATCTTGCAGACATTGAGTTGACCATGAACTGTATACAAGGTATTGTAGAGTCAAATGTGAGGTCATCTGTCAGATAGCTCAAGCTTGGCTGAAACTTGGTTATGCAACAGGTCCATGATCCCAAGCACACCAACAAATCTACAACAAAATGGCTGAAAAGGAAAAGAATCAAGGTGTTGCAACGGCCAAGTCAAAATCCAGACCTCAACCTATTTGAGATGAAAATGGCCAGTGACGTGGAGAGGGGGGATTTGCTGGTTGGGTAACAGCCTATCCTCCACATTATTTTACCCAGGCTCCGTGCCCTGGAGAGGACACTCCAGCTTCGTGTACAGCATCAAAACACTAGACGCTGTTCCAAGTCCTCCATACAGAGCACGTTACCATAGTCTCTCGAGACTGAAGGATGCCTATGATGATGATGTAGAAACAAATGCCCACAGACCTCAAAGAACTGAAGTAATGTTGTAAAGAAGAGTGGGCCAAAATTCCTCCACAACCATGTGAGAGACTGGTAAAGTTGCATAGAAAACAATTACTTCAAGTTATTCCTGCAAAAGGTGTTTCTACGTCATTTACTAGTCTCTAAGTGTCCTTAGTTTTCACACATGGCTTCTCCATTTAGGCTTTATTTCTGTAAAATACATCATGACACGGTATAATATGTCATGTTGTTCAACTGAGGTTGCATTTCCCTGCAAAAGGTGTTTCTACGTCATTTACCAGTCTCTAAGTGTCCTTAGTTTTCACACATGGCTTCTCCATTTAGGCTTTATTTCTGTAAAATAAATCATGACACGGTATAATATGCCATGTTGTTCAACTGAGGTTGCATTTACCTGATTTTCAGACCTGCTAAGGACTGGATGATTTTTATTATGTCTTGATACATAAAATCATAGAATTAAAAGAGGGTGCACTTTCTTTATCACATGACTGTATCTATTTCTATCAATTCATTACCCTCTCATCAGGTTCCCTGCTTTCTTCTGCAGGAACTATTGCTTATTTAATCTTCTCTTATTTATATGCGGATGCCTCCCTATAGGGGACCCAACTAAAAGATGGCAGGAGAACATGAGGCTTCTTTCTAAAGTTAAACAGCTGCAGAGTACAAATTAAGAACCTGACTAAGGGCTTGTCTATTTGCCTGTTTTGGAGCAGGCTAAATAGGGCCGCTAAGAAGCCCAGTATGCCATGCCATTTGGTAGGGTCTACACAAATGGCAAAGACCTGAAGCAGCCATGTCTGAATCCTTCCCACGTACTCTCAGAAACATGAGGAGACAGGAGGGCAAGAAGGGTTTTTAAAATGTATTCTTCTCTCGAAGAGCCAGTCAAGAAAAGCAAACAACCCCCCCATCCTGTCTGTTCTTTCCACTGCTGCTACTTCACTTGCCTTTCTTAAAATGCCAAACCAAACCAAGCCACACAGACAGATAGGGGAGCATGTACTTGCACAGGAGCGGTCAGCTTTTCAAAGGGAACCTACTCATGCTGCTTTTGAAAATCTCCCTCCTCTCTTCTCCTGCTGTTGCTCTGCTTTTGAAAGGCTAAGCCAAGGCTTAGCTTTTTAAGTACAAATGAGCACAGGGGATTCAATCAGTAATTTTGTTGTTTAGTCATTTAGTCGTGTCCAACTCTTTGTGACCCCCATGGACCACAGCACGCCAGGACCTCCTGTCTTCCACTGCCTCCCAGAGATGGGTCAAAATCATGTTGGTCGCTTCGGTGACACTGTCCAGCCATCTCGTCCCCTTCTCCTCTTGCCCTCACACTTTCCCAACATCAGGGTCTTTTCCAGGGAGTCTTCTCTTCTCATCAGATGGCAAAAGTATTGGAGCCTCAGCTTCAGGATCTGTCCTTTCAGTGAACACTCAGGGCTGATTTCCTTCAAAATGGACAGAGTTGTTCTCTTTGTTCTCCTCCAGCACCACAATTCAAA